GGGGGGGGGGGGGGGGGGGGGGGGGTTAGGGCGAAATTCCGGAGGATTCGTTTGTTATGAAGTATTTAAAAGCGTGCAACGCGTAGGCAGCTTCTCCATATTTTGAAAAATGACATCAAATAGCATTGGAAGTCAGAGTATGTTTTCTCACCCGGTCTGCCATGATCAGTTAGCCCTCGCCAACCTCTGGGATTTAATGCGGGCTATCTGTTTGTACAGGAACCGTGACCCACACCTCAGGAACGTTTTGGGTGTGAAAATGAAGAAGAACCTTGCAGGGATCCGTGATCGTGTTGCGGACAAGAGACACCCTTTACAATCTCGCCTGGAATTAACGATCATGTTATGAGTTAGGTCATAAAAACCGGACTTACTCGGTTCAAATCAACTTCTTATGTAAACTTAAGCAATGGACACTATCAGGTTTATTCATTACTTTCAAGCAAAATTATAAACTTCACTTCGAAAACGGTAGCTTTTTTCAGAACCCGCATGGGGAGCTCCAGGGGCAATAGTGTTAAGGCAAGACTTTCGAAATTATCTCGCGCAGATATAGAAAATCAGTGTGAAACTTGTCTGGGCTCCTAGTTACTTCAACGCTTCCAGTGGGTTGGAACAAATTTTTTGTAAGAAAATTTCTACTAGGTAGTTCTGCTAGAGGAAGCAAGTCGAAGGCCTATCTATTTCAGTTTTTTAATCCCCCAGAAATAATTCACAGTAGGACTTACTTATATGGCCTCCTAAACAGGACATTCGAACAGGAACCGCCTGCAATACGGGTAGCTTTGAACCAACTTCCAGTGGAATTGGGGTTGGCTTTAAGGTAAGCGTCGGGTTCAAGTTAAGGATTAAGTTGAGGCTAGACTTAAAAATAAAGCTAAGCTAAGTCACAGTCAAATTTAGGGCTGAGGTAAGGCCTAGTGTTAACTGTAGAGTTAAGGTTTCGGATAGGGTTAGGGTCAAGATTAGGGCAATGGGTTAGTTTTATATTAGGGTTACTGTTGGGGTTATGACACGGGAATATTTGCCCTTTCCAATATTATACTCAGGTCCACTTTTATAACTCGGGGGGACGTACGTATTCAATGTCGTGTTTAGGAGGCCTCACAAGTCACTCCCACCTAAGTCATTAATTTGGGGTAAATCAGTCGAAATGAAGTTTTATAAACCCAGTTGATATGAATGTCAGAGCCGACGTCCATCAGCCGCGTAATATTTATAAATTGTCAACATGCAGCCAGTCCTATACTCATGTTGCATGGTTTTCCATGATGAGAGCACAGGTACTGGCTTAAAAGGTCCTCGCAGCTGCGTGATGCAACGGCAGCATATCGGCGAAACACGTGTCTGGGCTTTTAACCAGTACCTGTGCAGGCAGTACGGTTAATCATGCAAAGCGGGTTTGCTCATTGTTTGATTGTGAAATGGAGTGAACAATGGGATTTTGAGGACGCTTTGGGTAGGGCACGAGTGGCTTACCGCTAAATTTCAGGGGTCAGGGTTAAAGTTTGGACACTTGTAAAGCACTCCCCTTGACACTTAGCGCAAGACCACCTGTACTACGGCGATCCATACTCCTGTGTTCAATAGCTCTTCGTTCTTAACTTAAGTGGCTAATAAGGACTGGCGACACTTACACTATTACCTTCTGATTTGCAGTAAACAAAATGCAGCGAACATCGGGCGGGATCTTCCAGACTTCAGGGTTGCAGGGTTATCTTATATTCTCAACAGGATTAAAAAGGATCAGGCAGACTCGTTTTTACCCTCTTAGTAGCGAGGATCCTATTGCCCCTAGAACAGGCCACGAGGCAAATGCGCTGGATTAACAGAAGTGCTAGATCGGGCTCAGGCAGGCGTCAGTGGTAGTGCGTCGCACCCATAAAAAAATTCCAAAATTGGGGTTTTGGTGGCACGCCTATATGTAGGCCCATGCCGCTCCCAATGGGATCCTGTAAAATCCTGGTCGTGTACCTTGCGGGTCAGGGGTGTGATAGTATGTCTAGATGCGGGTTTTTATCGTGCTGGCCACCTGCGCCCCCTCCTACCTCCGGTCTTCTTGACATTGCCATGACACCGGGTTTAGGTGCTTGAGGGGAAGAGAGCGCGTTAGACGCAGCGCAAGTATGCTACCACTATAGAACAAGTCAGCGTGCCTGCTTCACCTTGCTGTGGAGCACACGGTGGGAGTCGTCGGTCATGACGTTCAAATTGTCGGAAGGATCCTGTAAAAGGTCGACGAATAACATTAGAGGTCTCAGTTCGCGCTCCCACCTATTGCCAAAATTTCTTAGTTACTTTTTTGTGTTTTTTTTAAAAAAAGAAACACCTTCACCTGAATGAATAACTTTGGCACGATAGCCGTCAGGGACCACAAGGCGATCTGGTGTTTGCGCATTGTAAATCTTAGCAATATCTGTAAGCTGAAGTGCAGAAATTTCAGATCTCCATTTGCATTTGCGGAAATGTTTTTACCGGCTCAGAGCGTGACGGCAACGCAGATGTTAATGGGCAGGAGCTGATAAGCCTACTTGGGTCACTGGCAAGTATCTCCTAAACAGCGGCATCCTTAACGAGCAGTCACCCGCCTAGGCCGTGTTCCCATAAGTAACCGTGGCCAGGGCACCCCCTTCCCCCTCCCCCCCGCTACCTCACGTGGTTGCGGCAGGACTTCACGACCCGCTGCAAACTTGGAAACCTGATTGGTGCATCGTGCCTAACCAATCAGAGAGATCGCTGTGATGGCTGGCCAAATCGGACGCATCCGTCTGCTGCGTGCACGCGCCCTCACGCCCGCGAGCACACGCCTCAGACTGCCTCCTGCACACACGGGTTGCTACTGTCGCAGACTGCCGACAACAGTGCTTCGGCGACTCTAAAGAGGGCAGAGACCGAACCCCCGGGAGGAAATGGATCTCTAGAGATATTTGACGCCCGCCGCTGCCGCCATCATTGCATAATTCCCCTTGCCTACCCTTTACCTCTCGCTGTGCGCCCGTTCCCATACACCCCATTAGAGGTTCTTTCTCTCTTTCTGAGCCAAGGGATTGGTACTCTCTACAAAGCTTGACAAGAAACCATGAGCGTGGGATTATTTATACTCCTTTTCACTGCACTCATCTGCCTTCCTGCAGTCCTCAGAGGCGAACCCACAATCACCTTGTCCCCACTGGCGCGTGTTAGGCGTCAGTACGACGGTCCGCCGGCCTTCTTTGCCCCCGGAGGTGTTAACGACGATCACGAGTCACAGGCCCCCCTGATGCTGGACTTGCTGCACAATCTGACGACTGTCAATGGACCCAAGGGACGCTGTGGCATCTGTGCACGAAGGTATCGTGTCCTTCAGGAGCTGCGGTACAAGGCCAGTGAGGAATGTCGGCGTTATTCTAACAGTCGACAGGCCTCTCTCGGTGATATCACTGAATTCTATCATACGGTAAGTTGCGCAAGGTCTGGAATTTTTAACACACGTAACGAGAAGTTGGAGTTTTTCTTTCAATTATAGCCCTTTATTGCCATTAGGGGCTTCCTGTGCGATGTGAATGGCCCGGATAGGACGATGGCAAGAAATCTAGGCGTGATACCACCCGTAGTGGATGTGTTCCACCATATCTCTGACATTGAAAGTCTGTTTCGTCAAAAAATGCTTTGGTTTGACCATTACAGGTATCAATACTTCGCAGAAAGCTATCGGTCGTTTGGCTGTTGTTGTGTAAAGCAAACGGAGTGTTAAACTAGAGTAAGACATGAGAAGTCAGATAAACGTGAGCTGTTTTATTGAAATATCCATCGCACACTTGGTTTTTACACCAATGAAAAAAACTTGCTGCTCGTCCCAGCCTGGCTTTACTCCAAGAAATTTAGGGTTTGGTCAGTGCATTTTTGTTTGTGACCTTTTTGGTGCATGGGAGGGCAGAGTCATAACAAAGTATCCAACCGAGCGGGACCGTGAAAATGGTTGACCGACAGAGCGCAAAACATTAAGGACAATACAGGACATTTAGTTATGAAGATGGTTGATTATTTAGAGCCGTCTGAAAACATAATATACACTCATTAGCATTTAAAGAAGACGGAATTTCAAGATTTATTTTGCATGAAAAGCACAAATTGTTCAAAACTTATTAGGATTGCTCAGCCTGGTGTTACCAAACTTGCGATTTCCAGCTCGGTTGCGATTCTCTCTCAGTGGGTCTGAGAATGTATTTAATTCTTAACCTTATTATGGTACTGCAATGTTCGGGGTTCCTCTTCCCTATCTTACTTATTTTACTCATTTTCTACTGGTTTTTTGCAAAACTATGCACAGTAATGACAATGGAGTGCCCTAAAAAGGATACTTTCGAAGCATGTAATGTTTTTCGACGTAGACAACCCACAGTTGGAAAACGGGCTTTCTGTGTGAAGCAAATTGGCTGCTGAATTGCTGCTTATCTCGTAACTTCATGTTTAATTCTCTTGAATATAATAAAGTTTTCGCGGACAGTAGCCGTCTGGCTAACTAGCTCCAGGACGTGTAAATAGTTTCAAATAACCGAAAGAGCTTTCTAGCAGGATTTGCTAGTGGTTTCGTTGCGCTAATCGGTGTCTTCAAACACTTCGTTCGCATTCGGGTCATTTTATCGCACTGCTTTAAAACATACACGGTAGCAGACGGTATTTCGGAGCTATTTTTTCACATATATTCATTAAGTCTCTGAAAGGCATGGTTTACATTATCCAAGTAGGAGTCGAAACCAATAACATCACCTGTGTCCTTCGTCTCCCAGGACCTGATTCATGTTTCGGTTAGTCTGGAATTGTGACGGAGAGTCATATCCACAGGACATCAAACCTGTAAATGAATGAAGGTGTCGTCCCACTATTCAGAATAACGAGTTCGAACGGCGTCTATCCAGGTCAGACTGCTGGCAGTATACTCGGGTACTTGTGTTAAGATTCATTAATTCGGCTGGCGACCGGACTTCTCTTGTCATATAAGGGCTAGTTGATCAAAGGGGGGAGATGGCAGCTTGCGTAATAGAGCCCCACAGACTGACATAGTTATGTCTTAAATACGTCTGTTTTTCTTTCATTAAAGGTCTCCACTTGTGGCTTACCGAAATGGACGTGGGAAGTGCAGTCAGTGATCGATCTCTTGAAATGTAGACTGAAATTTTGGAATGTGTTTTCGATTAGAAAGGATTACTTGGGTGGGATTGTTGCACCGATGATCGTGCAGCACAGTCCCAAGATATATCGGTCACATCCAGATGCCGGCTTTCAAATGCATTCGTTTTCCATCACTTGTAAAATTTCCCTCGGTGAAGAATGACTACTTAAGTAGCGTGGAGTTTT